ACCGGGGCCAATCTCCACGTGGCCCGCCCACCTGTTCTTGGGCAAACCGCCTGCCACGCCTTGGTCTTAATTGATTAATTAATAGATGTAATTAGGCAGGAGGCTGCCCATTTTCTGCCCCGCTGCTAGGGGGCGCTATCTGCGGCTCCATTCCTCCCCTACACCGCAGCCAGCGCCTTGCTGATGACATCATGTTCCCATACGTGCTAGTCCCCCACGATGGGGCCCAGAATCCCACTGTAGGACCCCACCTGGGTTCCTCCCTTCAGGCGGACTCTGCCGCCGTCATCCCAGGCCATATATCGCCCTGCCATCGGTTCCCCTTCGGGCATGGTCCCCTCACTGGGACCTTTGGCTCACACTAGCCCCGGCCCACCTCCAGGCCAGTGGGGACCCCAGGCCCCGGGCTCTTGGGCGTCCCTCTCGGTGGGTCTCCTTGCCCTTCTGGCCCTCCTGGTCCTGGCCCCTGCCTGGGCCAGTCAGGGGAAGCTCTGGCAGGCCTCGCTGTATGATCCATACTCTTATCCCGGGGTCCCCCTCCACAGATGTGGGGAGCTGGGGCTACCTCACACCACGACTGGTGCCTCAGGGTCTCACAGGGGACTCTCACTCCCTCCCCGGGCAGCAGGTCGCGGTGCTACTACTGGTGTTATCTTTGACCCACACTCTGCCTCCCAACGGTGGAGGACTTATTGGGGTCAGGGCTCAGCTCTCGCTCTCTCTGGCTGAGCCCCCTCTCCCTTCACAGGGCTCCACATCGCCCTCTCTCTGGGGCTTCTGATCACTGCCCCCTCTCACTGTGGCTCCACAGTGCTGGCCCCCTCTCAACTGGGGCTCAGATGTTATACTTGACCCAAACTCTGCCTCCCAGCATTGGAGGACTTACTGGGGTCAGGACTCAGCTCTCTTGCCCTCTGGCTGAGCCCCCCCTCTCCCTTCACAGGGCTCCCCACGCTGCCCCCCCCCACACTGGGGGGGCTCCCCACTGCTCGTAACACCCCCTTTACTCGGGGTCTCAGGGCTTCCCTCCACAGGTGGGCTTAGGTGGCCGTAGCCGTGCGTGGCCCCAACTCTACTCCTCGGGGTCTCAAACCCCCACAACTATTTCCGGTGTACCATGACCCACCCTAAGGTGAGGGCTAGGGGTTAAGGCGCCCTGACCCGCCTTTCACCGGGGTGATCATTGGCCTAGCATTTCCTGGGGGCTCCTGCACCACTGGGAGTCCCACCAGGCCACCCACTCCCGGCAGGGTGTAGTTTCCAGTCATACCCAGGACCAGGAGCCTCCTACCATCCCCTACAGCTCCTCCCTTACCTCCGGATGAAACTTGGCAGCCCTCAGGCCAGGCGATGTTGTTGCCTTCCAGCAGGAAAACTGCCTCATTTATACAGGCAGCCCTGAGCCTAAAATGGCCGCCCTCATCAGGCACCTGGAGGCTGCCAGCTCCTGGGCCTTAAAGTGGCAGCACACCGAGTGCCCTGCCACACATTCCACCCAGGATGAGCACACACCAACTGCTGAAACGTCCTTAGCCCGACGAAGGGTTTTTGAACCCGAAAGCTCGCTTAATAATTGTTTTCCAACTATTTACATTGGTCTAATAAAAGATATCAGATTCACCCAAAGAACCTTGTCTCGCAAAAAGAAAGGTATTCTTGTCCGCTTGCAGGTGGGGAAAAAAAAAAAGATACAGCCAAAAGTCAGGGTAGCCGAGCGCTCAAACTCCAGCTTGCTTCAGTGGAAACGTGGATGCAACAGGGACAGACCCCAGGCCTGATTGGGGAAGATGGCACCCAGTTCAGAAGGGCAACACAACGTAGCTGCAATTAGAGTACAGCTCCAAAAAGTTTTGCAGTGAGCCGTGTACAGTCTAATGACTGAATTTGCTTCCATTTCCCCAAAGAGGACACCAGTGAGAAATCAAACAGGGATTTAAGATCCACAATTCCCTTGCTAGAAATGTGAACCAATTTCCTTCTCTGTTCGCACTTTGTCATGGTGACAACAGACCCAAAAATAACATCTTGGTATTTAATTGTTCCACTCACCAACTGATGCTCCTCAAACTCCCAAGCCATTCTTCCCAGGATTGCATTGTAGCACCTCGATTTTAATTTCCTGCTACTAAATTACTTGCTGTATAGGAACTGACAGTAGGAAACTGATATCTGGTTGCTCCCAGGCCGCTGACACAGCAAATGCTAATGCGAAGCTTCAGATTTGAAACTCCAGCTTCTTCCCATGACAGGTAAATTCTCCTACTATTATAAATGCAAATTAGTATATTCTCAGAGCTGATGCTCTGCAACTTTGGGACCAATGCAAGAGGCAGGTTAGCTAATGAGGCAAAAGGCATTTACAAGGATTCACATATTACTTACCACACTCTTCCCCCCAGCCTGATCCAGCCTCTTCAGCTCCAAGGATTTTTATCACGCAGCCTTTGTGCATTAAGACTAATCTTTTTGGAGATTTAATTACAAGGTGAAATGTATCCAATTCTTTTATCCCATTTTAGAGCGACGATAAAGAAACCAAACGGCTGCAAATGCTGTAAACCCTTATTAGGATTAACACTGCAGCAACAAGTTTTTATCACCTTAATGGCACTATTCTTTACATGGTACAGCAGACGCACGCAAAGCAAAGGATGGGGGATGCTGGGACCTTTACAGCCTATCAAATATAAACCATAACGTGCAGAAAATGCGAGTCGGAAGCCGCAATAGCATAAATACTTATTACAGAGGTGCTCTTGCCCTGCTTTAATCTTCCTAGAGCTATAAAATGAAGAAGTAGTTAATGTATTTTCCAAAGGCCCACGCACACTTGCGGTACTGTCCCGTGCTTTTAGAAACCACAGAATTGACCTTCTTCTTTGTAGTCTTATGTTTTTTTAATTTTTTAACACCAAACAAATATAAAAATACTATTAAAATAACATGTCCATATCATCTCAGAAATCTGCTTCTTTCAAAAGTGACATTATTGACCAAGTTTCAACCTCAACTATAGCAGGGAAGGGATGAGCTTCACAAACTCTTACCTGGATGAAACTGTTTAAATGGCTGTTCAAACTTCAGCCAAGAGTTAAGAGAGAGGGAAAGAGTGGCTTTAGTGGGAGCTTCTGGATGCTCAACAATTTGGAGGGGAAAATAAACCACACTGTTTAATAAAGTGCCTTTCTACAAAGCTGGGAGCCCAGCGTTAGACACCTGCGTTTATTGGAAATCTTGGGCTCAGAGAATAATAAATAATACATATCCCCCTCTTCTCGGGCTCAGCTGGGACCACACGCAACTCCATCTTCTCTATGCAGAAGACTGGGGGCTAGCGCTGTTCTCTGTGACATGCTGGGATATTTGTTTCTGCGAACAATTTTCACCTCGACAGCTCATACTTGGAACATATGCATTTTCTTTTGCAAATCAGACTGCCAGAGGGCTCCCAAACCCAAATTTACAGCAAGGGAATTGGCTCTGAAATGCTCCAAAACGGGTTCAAATTAAAAAAAGTATATTTAAAAAACTGTCCTCCCATTTTGCTTGCGAGGGAGAAGGTGTATCCAAAGGGCTCTCCCCGGGCTCCCACAGTGGGAAGTGTTGCATTTGGTTCCCTGGGGTGCCACCGTCACCTCGTGGGCTTGCTTGGTTTTCCTCATGATGAAGGGCTGCAGCTCAACAGGAAGGGGCTAAAATTTCTGAAGGAATTTGAGAACCAAGTCCCGCAGCTTCACCCGGAGCGTCTCATCGTTGTCGCAGATGATGTGCGTCGAGTCCTCTTCTATCTGAATGAGGGTTTCTGCCTCCTGCAGCAGCACGATGTGCCCCTTTGCCGTGTCCTCCACCTTCACGTCACTGAAACCATGCTGTGGATGAAGCATTGGAGGGAGAGACACACACACACATCCGCATGTTACTGCCATTTAAGAAAAGGCATCAAATACAGTTTGACAGATGCTCTCTCAGAGCACTTGAGATCTGTGCCTAAAAGTTGCTGTCAAGCATGCTAAGGTTTTTGTAAGCATTAGCACTGATTATAAACCCCCGAAACTCCCGAGACGCATGCCAAATATTATCCCCATTTTACAGGTGGAGACACTGCAGTAAAGGGAGGGGAGAGCCAAACATTTTCAGCAATGACAACTCACTTTGGGGGCCTGACTTCAGAGGTGACGAGGACAAGCAGCTCCCTTGCTTCAACTACAAAGATGAGCTCCGTAGCGCAGAAATGGAGGCTGCAGGAGGTCTCAGGGTATCAGGCATGCACAACTGAGAGGCACCCAAAGTGAGTGATCCCCAAGTGACTTGCTCAAGATCACACAGCAGTTCAGTGACAGATTTAGAAATAAAGCCCTGACTCCCTGAGCCTTGAGGCCTCCCTCCCTGCTGCATTTCTGGGCAGACCCCTCCCCTAATAACTTTAACCTCCTTCCGCCACAGAAATGCACAGATTTTCTTCAGGAGTGAATCCCAGCTGCCTGTGAAGTGCCTGATGCTGCAGTAAAACTGACTGATAGGTCCTTTCCTCCCCTCCACACATCAGAAAGCCAACGGGAGATATGTAATCTACCTATCAACAGAGGATGTGCGGAAAGAAGATTAATTTGCCCTGAGGCTTCCAGTGCTAGCTTGAGGATGTCAGTTTAGCAAGCACTGCTGTAGCTTCAGAAAAGATCGCTGCTGGATACCATTACAGGAGATTTCTACTGAACGCAGACAAAGTTCTGGAAAGTTTTATTCGGGTTGGAGTGTTGTAGCCCTAATGGGCCAGGAAGTACGAGAGGCAAGGATGTTTTTTTGGTCGTATATTTTATTGGGCCAGCTGTGTAGCTGGGAGAGATGTTAGACAAGCTTTTGGACATCTAGCCCAGATCTGAGAAGGGGCAGCGTGCGTCCAAAAGCCTGTCATCTAACACCTCTCCCAACCATCTGGTTAGTACAATAAAATATGACCAAAAACCTCTTGTCTCTGGAAAGTTTTAAACTTCATGAAGCACAGGTATTTACAGAATAATAGAAGAGAAGTCAACAGCTCAGCATGTTCAAGAGGCAGAGCTGATCCTTACCAGACATCTCAGGAGTTTGCCCAATCTAGTCTGACGATGACTGGGGTACAGTGCCTTCCATCTCTTTTCTTGAGGGGTTTTTCTCCTGAATAACACCCCTGGCAAGATTCATTTTATACAGTCCCCCTTTTTATTCTCTGTTGGGCTACTCTAAATCATTCCTCTCCTAAAGAAAGACAACGTCTCTTTGGGAAAATCCACTCGAACCTCACAGGCTGCAAGCAGCTTATTACCTTCTCCAGCGCCTGTACAAACTGGTCCACAGGGATGGCACCACTCAGAAGTGGCTTTAATGGTTTGCACTCTGGCAGGTCGTCGCTCACCCGCTTTCTCTTCTTGCTGGCCGGGGGCTGAGCTGGTTTTGGAGGCAGCTAAAGGAGAAGACAACAGACTAGCACCATTAACACAGGAAGCTTATGACAGCCTGGTGGGAGGTGGGGGCATGCAGGCAGGAGCAATGGGCAGCAAAAGGAGACAACTACAATGTGTGCTGTACAAGGCAAAATGAAGCAAACCATAGGCTGAAGAGTCTAAGTGCTGGGAGATGCAAGGCAGACAGGGGTTGAGGCATCTGTCTGGACAGCCCCTGCACAAAGACCTGTGCGCCTGCTCTGTGCTGCTGAGAGAGACAGGATGCGGGTCTGACCCAGCTCTTTACAGTATAAGAGGTGCAGTGAAGTCTGGATGCATTAGTAAACCCAGAGCAAGTGTCCTGCTGTTGAGGGGGTTTGTAACTTATCCCTCACTGGAATCACATACGAGTCTGTAGGAAGGACATGAATGAGGAGACAGTACCAGAGACCCCACAGGCAGGGCTGTCCTAGTATAACAAGCAACAGGCTGAGCTGGGCCTCTCACCTCATGTTGGGGGGGGTCCTCATCTGTTCAAAGGCTGATGCAAAGCATGAAACTTCTGGGTTTGCTTCACCAGCAAGACTTTTTTTTTTAAAACCAGTTTGCCTGCTAAACCCCAGTCCTATCAACATCTGTGTGCTCAAGCAATTTTATGCAGGCAAGACAGCTCCCTGAATTCAGTGGTGCTGTGTAAGTGTTTGCAGATTTGGACCTAAGGTTATCTCTACAGCTTCTGCAGCTCTTTGTAGCAATTCCCATGGGAGGATTAAGCTATACCGATAAGCACTATTATTCTGGTACAACGCGTCCAGACGAGAGGGCTGGACCAATTTAACTGTTTGTAGACTGATTTAGTGACAGCAAGACAAAAAAAACAAAACAACACCCTGCGCAAGGTGAAGGAAGGAGGCAGACCACCAAGATGTGAATGCAAGTGTGCGCTGGAGGTGCCAGTCATCCCAACTGTCTTTTGGACTAACTGGGATCCTTGTATTATGAGGATACAAGGACGCAACATGCTCTTATTCAGTGCACGAATGTGAAGTTTGCTTGTTGTGTCATTGCTATGAATCCTCAACTACCAGCATTAAGGAATTCCACATTTATAGCCATACGCTAGCAAAATGTTGTCTACACAAGTCTCATTTCTCATGCGCAGACACTGCCTTAGAAGGTCCAGTGTAAAAGCATCCCATCAGGGTTTGGTGGCATACTATGCCCTTCTCTCAAATGCAGTAGACCCTGGGCAGGAACGAGGGGCAAGATTTGTGCTGTGTTTTGCAGGGACTGCTCAGCCCAGTATCTGTGGGAGCTGAGTGGCATGGGGCTCCCCCGTGGGGCACTATAGTTTAAAATGTGGTAAGGATGGACCAGCCGCTCTGCCACTTTGTGGCCAGACCAGACACCAGCCCTTTTTACAAAGCAACGGTGCAGGAGCTGCAGAGCTATTGAAGGAGATGGTGAGGAGGGGGAGGAAGGATGCCTTCCTCACTTAACCCTGGGAAAACCTTGTTTCACATTCCTCTGTAGGACCGGGTGTTAGGAGAAGGGGGCTTCTTAAGGAACCCTATCTCCGCCACCTAATGTTTTCGGGCCAGCTGTCCTTTATGACCCTCATCAGCGACTCCGTGAAAGGCTAAATCATACTGATCCTGGTGCTTGTGCTGGGGAAAGACACCGCTGTAATTTGCAGTCTCTCTTTCCAAATAAACCCTTTTCCCCTTTTATCTCAGCCAGGCACACGGCCAGGAGAAGGAGTGCAGAAATTTATAGGCACCCTACTCTCCGTTCAAAGTACCATTCATCAAAGACGCCAGCCTCACACGCGCAAGCCAGGAGAAAGAGGCTGACAAGGAGCCTGCTGCAGTGTGGGCAGAGGAGCTAAAGGGGCTGCCGCATGGGAAGAGCTGGGACCCCAGATGCCAAGGAGACCCCACGTAGAGATGGCTCACTTCCCTCCCCATCATACAGTACCTGGAGCACGTGCTTGTTGTCCTTAGTATGCAGCATAGCAGAAACTGTTGCTAAGGAAATGCCAGGCTTAATCTCCAAGGGAACCAGCGAATCTGCAAGCTAAAGCAAATGAATTTTGTTTAGCAAGTGATAATCTCAAAATTTGTGTGAATCCAGCTGCAATTTAAATTGGTGGTGTGATCTTTTTACGCACGGGCTAATGCACTGTAAACACAAGCCCAGGGTTCAATGACAGAGGATTCCCTCTTGCGTGGTGCTCCTGTCTGCAGCTCCTCACTTCGGTCTTTCAATGCAACCCACTTTTCTATCACTATTGCAAGTGCAGATCGTGAGGCTTTTGGTGACCAGGGGCAACTTGTGAAAATGGACAGTGAAAGGGGAACCTACTTGTAAGGAAAGCACTAGCCATATTGCCAGCAACTCTAATTACTAGGACTTATAACACTGAATTTGTCATTATTGAGGCTGTTTGTTAACCCCTGGGACACAATGAACAGGCAGTTTCCCTTTGGCTTCTCACTACTTCAGAGTTTATAAAGGAAGGATCAACTGTTTAAATCCAACAGGATCCCTTTAAGATTCAGGAAAATGCTGAGTTTTCCACACATGCCTTTCCCACATCAAAGACATCTGTTTCTGGGTCTAAATTTAAGTCAGGGGCATCTCTTGACAACACCAGTCACCCACTAGTTTTCTGAAGAACCCAGTTGTTAACACTGGCTTGCACCTACAGAAACCATAGGTTTGCACAACCTACACCCCAGTTTGCACCTATAGATATTTGCTGTCACCCACCACAGCCTCCCACTGGCCTCCTGATGCATGAGCCTGCTAAAACCCTCTCCAGTTCATGGTAAGTATTGATCTATTTGACACAGGACTTTGACATAGGACTTGTGGGAGACACCGAACCTATTAACATGCCTGTCCCCAAGTTTATGGAGTATTTACATGTTAATATTCCAACACATTTATGGGCTTCAACCCTGATCTAAAATACTCCTCACACAAGCCATTTGCTACAGGAAAGGCCTGGACAAGTGGACAGGTCTTCCAGAGTGGATTGGCAGGTAGACTCGAGGTCTGTCAAGCCAAGGAGATGGGGGCATCTCTGCTGCTACGTACTGCTTGGCAAGGCACAGCGAGACGTGTCCAAGGTCTAAACCAGGGGTGGGCCATTACTTGGGGCTGTGGGCTACATAGGGAGTTTTAGTGAACTCCTTATGTGTTGGGTGGGGAGTGGTGTTTGAGAGCAGGACAGGCAGGTGGGGCTGGGGCTGTTGGGTGGTGACAGCGCAGGGCCAGAGCCGTGATTCACTGCGTGCATGGCCCAGCGACAGGTGCAGGGAGCAGGTCGTGGCTCTGCCCTGGGCCCTGACCCCAAGTTGTCACTGCCCAGCGATCCTGGGGTCTCCGTGGATCCGTGCGGGCAGAGTGCATGGCCAGGCAGATGGGATGGGGGCGTGGGCAGGCAGGGAGCTGCATTCAGGGCCACATCTGGGATCTTGGCATGGTGACAGTGCAGGGCCAGGGCCCAGGGAAGAGCTGCAGTCTGCTGCCCCCACATGCCCCTCCCTGCCTGCACAACCCATGCCTGTTGCAGGGCCATGCAGGCAGCACATTGTAGCACAGCCCTGGCCCCAGTCCTGCACCGTCACAGCCCCAGGATCCCAGCCTTGCTCCCAAACACTGCTGCCTGCAGCCCCATCCCATCTGTCCAGCTGCGTGCCCTGCCTGCATGGTTCCCACCCCTGGTGGTAGGTGCAAGACGGACTTGCTAGGGTACCTGGGCAGCAAGGCCACATCTAGCAGCAGCCAGAAGCAGCGGCTGCTCCTGCCGCCGGGAAGCAAATCTGGCCACTACGCTACCCCAGGCTTGCTGCATACACAGGGATGGCAGGACTGGCCACACACACCAGCAAACTGGAAGCCAACGCAGTCTCCAGGGCCCAGGTGTTGTCGGCTCCCTGCCAGAAACAACATTAAGGAAATGGATGTGTGCAGGCTGCCTGGGCTGGCGTTCCAGACTTTGCAGGGGTAGTCCCCTGCAAAGTGCACTGCTCTTGCCCAGCGTCGCCACAGCAGAAGCAAGGGTGACAGTGCTGAAGCCTGTACCTGAAAAAAAAGGTTGTAGGTTTCTCAGTCTCCTACACCAGGTGTGCTCAGCCTCCAGCCTGTGGGCCAGATCTGGCCTGGGGCACTGTATCATCTGGCCTGCGGAGCTCCCCACGGGGCCAGAAATTTGTTGGCGGGGAAGTGATGGCATCATGCCCCTGCTGCTAAATGTCTGGACCCACGCGCAACTTCAGGTCCTGCACATTGGATCCAGCGCCTGACCCCAGCGCCTTGAGTTGGGGTGGCGCAGGACCTCAGGGCCCAACCCTAGTATGGGGCACTGGGAGGAGGTCGTGCCAGCCCCCTGGGACCCAATCCCAGCGCACAGGGGACAGAAGGGGCAGTGCCAGGCCCCAAGCCTTGTTCCAGCCTGCAGATGGTCCACAGGATCAAAAGGTTGAGCACCACTGTCCTAGCCCATGAAAAAGGATGAACACAACCACTTAGTTGAAGGGGCCTGGCTCAACATCACCATTTTCCCCCAGAGTTGTACCTCACTCCCCAACCACAACCCCAGGCTCACATGGGTGGGGCTTTACCTGGATAGCTCTCATCTAAGTGTTGATCCCTGCCATTTGCAAGGTTGGTGACCATGCCTGGTGCCAGATTTTGAGAAGACTTAAGTATCTGAGCTCTCAACTGCTTAGTTAGTACCAGAAAAGCTCTGCGTCTCATGTCAAACACCTGCTACTTTGCCTCAAGGTAACATCAAGCTGTCCCTCTGCCTCCCCAAGCTGTTCTCAGCGCACTTTAAAGATAGAGATTAATCTAGTTTTGCAGATGGGAGAAATGGGGTATTAAAAGCCTTGCTTGAGTTACCTAACAAGCCCACACCAAAGTCCAGAATAAAGAGCTGGTTTAAATGGCACCAAGCTAGCTCCAACAGGAGCAGAGTTGGGTCAGTGCTAAGTACATCCTACCCGCTGTCTCTGTGACAATGTAGGCCATCCAGCTTTATAAAAGGGATAGGCAGAAGTTTCCATGGGAAAGCAAGTTATTTAGGCCTCAGTATTACAATGTAAGGGTGACTGTCAGTGTTTTTAGGTTGGTCCCTGGAGCTAAAAATATCAGCACTCAAGGTGGTGTAATGCACTGTGCTTTGCTGTGATTGAAGGCACTTTCTCTCCCCCACCCCCTCACTTGGTGGAATCGATACTGAATTGGTTCGAATGAAGGCAGCACCAAAAAGTGACAACCACTGTAAGGCCAGAGAGCAAAACAGAGCTTTGTAGCTATGTTCAAAGAGAGCCTCTTCTATCAGTGAAGTGCTCCGTTACCACCAGCTATTAGGGCATTAACCACATGGACAGTAAATCATAACACTAGCCTCCGACAGTCAAACAGGACTGCAAAATGGGCATTTAACTTCACTTTCTCTAGCAACTCATCTCTTAGCCTCCTCTAAGAATTGGCTGATTTTCTTACTATAGAAGCTCACTGACCCAAACCCAAAAGGTTATTTCATCACATCCAAAGATTCAGAGACTGAGGCCTGGCAGGACCAATGCAATCACCTTGTCTGACCTCCTGCATAGATGGGTATAGGATTGTTCCAAAAAGCTGTATGATGGCTCATCTTCTAAAAGGATGTCTCATCTTGCCTACATGCTAAGTGATAGTGAGTCTGCTGCTTCCCTTGGGAAGTCATTCCACTGTTTAATTATCCTTACGGCTATGAAATCGTCTTATTTCAAGGTTGAATTTGTCCAATTTCAACCTTTAGTCACTGAAACTTGTTATGCTTTTGCCTGCAAGATTGAACTCCCTCCCCGCCACCCATCAAGGCAAGAAGAGTTTCTACATCCTAGTCATCACTGCCACCCTAATGCCACCTGCTGACATCATGAAAGCCACCAAAGAACAGATACTTTGCTCTGAACACGACCTATTTATGGATGAGCAGTTGGGCTGCATTAAAATGCTGGTATCATCGTAATTTTCTTCTTGTTCGTACTGCCAGCACCCCTGAAGAGCAGATGATGTGGTAGTGATGGAGACAAGTGTCAGTATTTATTGGGACGAGGGCTGGCAAGTCAGATTCTGGCTTGCTGCAAAGTTTGGTTTGTTCCAGCTTGAAAATTCTTCCCTGCTTAATAAAAATTAAACAACGGAAACCAATAAAAAGAACCCCAATAAAAGTAATCAGCCTGTGAAAGATTAAATTCAGTCAGCATGGCAACAGGAGCTTGGTAACAGCACAGAGAAAATTTGTTTTTTGGAAGTTTCACTGCTGTGACTTTACATGCAGACAGCAAATGCGAGCTCTCGGAGCGTAAGTTCATTCTTAACATACCCTGTGCCCAAATCTCTCTCTCAGGCTTGTACTTTCTGGAACTGAACAGGGTCTGGCACTTGCAATGGGAACTCAAGAGACTGATGATGATCAAGCCACATCAGTGGTCAAACCACCTTAATTTTGTGGTGGCCTGCCAAAAGTGTTCTTCCCCTCCCCCAGCCCCAACACTTCACAGACCCATGCAATTCAGATATTGCGCTTACTTGGAACAGATCTGTGTTTGAATAAGGACACGGCTAGTTTCCTAAACCAAATATAGACAACAGTGATCCCCCCTCTAAAAGCGTGCAACCTGCCGGCATCGAAGTAACAGCACAGAAGCCTGCAAGGCTGAACTGGAGCATGAGAAGCAGAAGTTGCACAGATCATGGGAATGGAGGAGTGGAAGAAGGATCCTCTTGGGCCACTGAGTCCAGTCCCTTGTATCCACAGGCATAAAAGCATAAGTGCCATACTGGGTCAAACCAGTGGTCCATCTAGCCTGGTATCCTGTCTCCGACAGTGGAAGAAGCCGATGCTATAAAGGAAGAACATCGAACTAGGTATCTCTGGAGTGATCTATCCCCTGGCATCCACCATGTATTGGGTCAGAGATGCCGCAGGAAATATTTCCAACCATTCTGTTCAAGAGACATGAATAGGGAATTGATAGCCCAAGGAAAATCCAAAGTTTCCACTTCACATCCTC